AAATCAGGGCAGGACTTATACACTTAATGGTAAGGTCCTGGGGAGTGTTGCTGAGTAGAGAGACCTTAGAGTGCAGGTTCATAGTTCCTTGAAAGTGGAGTTACAGGTAGGTAGGATAGTGAAGAAGGCTTTTGGTATGCTTGCCTTTATTGATCAGTGCATTGAGTATAATAGTTGGGAGGTCATTTTTCGGCTGTACAGGACATTGGTTCGGCCACTTTTGGAGTATTGCGTGCAATTCTGGTCTCCCTGCTATAGGAAGGATGTTGTAAAACTAAAAAGTGTTCAGAAAAGATCTATGAGGACAAGGGTTGGAGGGTTTGAGCTACAGGGCGAGGCTGAATAGACTGCGGTTATTTTGCCTGGAGTGTCAGAGGCTGAAGAGTTTATAAAATCATGAGGGGCATGGATAGAGTAAATAGGCAAGGTCTTTTCCCTAGGATTGGGGAGTCCAAATCTAGACAGCATAGGTTCAAGGTGAGAGGGAAACGATATAAAAGAGGCCTAAGATGCAACTTTTTCACACAGAGGGTGATGCGTTTATGGAATTAGCTGCCAGAGGAAGTGGTGCAACATTTAAAAAGCATCTGGATGGGTATATGAATAGGAAGGGTTTAGAGGGATATGGGCCAAATGCTGGCAAATGGGACTAGATTTATTTAGGATATCTGGTCGGCATGGACAAGTTGGACTGAAAGATCTGTTTCCATGCTGTACAACTCTATGAATCTAATTCCACCTGGTTGATGGTTACCATCCATATCAGTGCAGTCTCAGCCATCTGGAGGAATGCACAACATTGCACAAAGAAGATCAATGTTCCTGACCACTTCACCAGGTTCCAACATCTTCTTTCCGATACTTCACTCTCACTCCATCTCTGCTACTGGACTCCCAGCTACTGTCAAAGGGTACATATATGAGATAAATATCAGGGTACGGTGAGGGTAGGGTGCTAGATGGGTAGAGGGATAGGGTGCCATGTGGACGGGAGTGGTAGTGGTGGTGGGGGTTGGTGGGTGGGTAGACTGAGGTAACCATGGGTCTGTTTAGTAGTTCCTCAGGAGTTAGACAATATATTTAATAGTCTTAACTTTTCTGAAGTAACTATTTTCTTTAATGCATTGGAACCACTGATTTAAATGGAAACTTTCGGAGATATTCTAGCCTAGAGGAATTGCCCAGCAGAAAATCAATTTCTTCTTCCTGGTCAATTTGTTCAGAGTGCCATGGTGTGGATTCTGCAGGGTCCCCATGCACAACTGCCATCTACACTGAAATTACTCTCTGGTCCGTGGAAAATCCCCCTAATTATTTTGACAACAAAAGACTGATATTTGGATATGATACATTAACTTGTTACCAAATGTGAACCATTTAGTAATAGGAAAGGCAACAGATGAGTTAAGCTAACAATTCTACAATATAAATGTTTAAACACTTTCAGAACTGTATTATTTATGGAAATCCCACTCTTGAAACTGTCTAGAATTTTTTTTGTGAATTCAGAAGAGGTTAATTTCAGTCAGGCAACCATCATAAACAGACTGGCCACAAATGCCACAAACCTTAACTATTATGTCTTCCCTCTGTTAATTCCTGTGGTTGTCTGGCTATTGTCTGCCTTAAACTCATGTCCTTTTTCTTAGATTTCACAGTGTGTCCCCTCAGATTTGATCTTCCAATTGGTCTTCTTGCAATTATAACAAAAGTGTGCTCAGAACATGGAACCCTTTCTCAAAGAGTACTTGAGGCAAGACGCGTAGATGTCTGTAAGAGGAAGATAGATTGAGGAAAAAGGAACAGCAGGGTGGGTTAAATGAAATTGAATAGGAGGACTTTAATGTGGAGGATAACAAACAGCATTGACCAGTTAGACCATACGGCTTGTTTCTATCTGTAACACCAAAAGTAGCTGCTGTTGCTTTCTCATTAGACTGTTTACTGTTATATTCTGGAAACTGCTTTAAAACAAAGGTCTCTATAAGAAACCAGGCATGTCATGTTCACGTCACGTGAAGCACCTCTTACAAAATCATGTCACCATAGTATGTACGTTGGCCAGGATTGATGCAATGTCAACTCTTCTTTTATGGGAAACTTCTAGGTTCCTTCTTAATCCAAAATGTTATACAGAAGGAGTTCTGTCTTTGTGTATGCAAAGGAACACCTTCCCTCATCCCCGGATATAATGCATAGGAACACCTTCCCTCATCCTCGGACATAATGCAAAGGAACACCTTCCCTCATCCCCGGACGTAATGCAAAGGAACACCTTCCCTCATCCCCAGACATAATGCAAAGGAATACCTTCCCCCATCTCTGGACATAATGCAAAGGAACACCATCCCTCATCCCTGGACATAATGCAAAGGAACACCATCCCTCATCCCTGGACATAATGCATAGGAACACCTTCCCTCATTTCCGGACATAGTGCATAGGAACATCATCCCTCATCTCTGCACATAATGCATAGGAACACCAGCCCTCCTCCCCTTATATAATGGGCAGGCAGTTCATTGTAGTGGACAAAAAAGGTTATGTCTGATTTTATTCACAAGGGACGTAAAGCTGCTCTGTTCAGGGAATTATAGTTTGTTTTACTCACTCTCTTATTTTCTTTTATCATGGCACTGACATTTCCTAACTCTACTTGAAAATGCTGCTTGCAGACACAAGTAGCTTTACGGCTTAGAATTCATTTTAAGAATGTTAATGGTTAGGATTTTTTAAAACTGAAAACATTAGTGGGTAGTAAAATAAAAAGAATTGAATATATAAATTAAATATTAAACAACGTTGTGGTGTGTTTCCAAATTTCAGTGGACTGCTGTCTCCTGTATATAGTCCTCCCTTGATTGGTAGCAAAATTCTAGAATATTATTTGTACCCCAAGCAGAAATGAATTATATCTTTGATAATCTGTCACATCCTTCTGTAGAGCCTAACAGTTATCACTGCCACAAATCTGGGACTTATGGAACTTGACTTCGAAGTCTCTGATTTTTTTCAATAAATCGGTGTCAGGTCTAGTTATACAGGTAATCGTCACATAGCAAGTTTCCATACAGGCAAGATAAGAGCGTAAGTTTCTGCTTTTGTACACAGTTCTCTTCCTTGCTGCTCATCGTACTGACTTGGGAATATATCATGGTCCTTTCAGTGTCACTGGAGCAAAATCCTAGAACTCCCTCCTAACAGTGCTGTGGGTGAACCGACACCAACTGGACTGTAATTATTCAAGAAGGCAGCTCACCATGACCTTCTCAGTCGCAATTAGTTGGGCAATATGTGCAGGTCCAAACAGTGAAATCCACATCTCCTGGGTAAAAATTAAAAAAAACAAATGGTTGTAAATGGCGGAAGCTCTCATTCTTGTTTTGTTGAGGTGGGAGCTTGGCTGGTTTTGTGATTGGGGACCAGCTTCCAACGAAATATTTAAATGAGAGTTAAAGATTGCACAGAGTGTAGTAAAATCAGACTCACAGCATTAAATTTGTTTTTGTCTCTTCAGATTTTGCCAGACCTGTTGAGTTTCTCCAGCTGTTTTTATTTCTCTTCCTCTTCCAGTTCTCTGGCATTTGTGGTACTTTGCTTTTATTGGAGAGTGCATAATTCAATTTGCACTGGCTGTAAACTTCACCTAAAATTCCTCGATTGACAGTTTGGCTGATTTCTGGTGAAATGCATTGGTAAAGCTGACACAAACTAATGGAAACTCTGGCCTTACTTTTTTGTACCGCTTTTAGTTCAGGCATAGAAATAGGAATAAAAATAATCGGAGGAGTAACCTTACTTAAGAATGATTTTAAATGCTATTACATTTTATTGTTTAATTATGAAGAGACACTGGTATGGTGGAAATTCTCTAGACTAGTAACCCAGAGACTAATGCTTTGAGAGGAGGAGGGGGCATGAGTTCAAATCCAATCATGGTAGCTAGTGGAATTTGAATCCAATTAATAAACCTGAAATGTAAAACGAGTCTCAATAATAATTACCATGGGAACTATTGCAATTTTGAAAAATGCCCATCTGATCCACTAAAGTCCTCCCTTTGGGAAAGGGAATCTGCCATCATCACCTGCACTGAACCTCCATGTAACTCCAAACTCACAGCAATGTGATGCTGGCAAGAGACCTGGCCGGCATGGGTGAGTTGGACCGAAGGGTCTGTTTCCGTGTTGTATGACTCTATGACTCATAACTGTCCTCTGAAATGGTCCTAGCAAGTTATTTAATTCAAGGGCAGCTAGGGATGGGCAATAAATGGTGACCTTGCAAGCAGAGTCCACATCCTATCAAATTACAAAGGAAAGGTTGTCTAGTAATTAAGTGGATCAGTGGCACAAATGCGGCTTAAATTAAAGTGAAGAATCAGTACAGAAAGGACAATTACACTGTGGTATAATGATCCTGTCATTCGGTGATCAAAGGTCATGTGTTAATATTTTACTTTCATTGATCAATAATAGCAACATGCACTCAGGAACCTGCTGGTTACACAAATAGGCAAATTGCCTGAACCTCCAAGTGAATCTGATGTTCTCTTTTATTTTCTCTATTCTACTTTTAAGTCTCACATGACTGACTGCAATAATGTAGATTTCCACAAGAACCTATATGCCTTGGAATTAATCTCTTTAAACATTAGCACGTGAAAGCATAAAATTCTCATGTTTTCAAGTCTTTGTTCACAGAGATCACCAAGTTTAAACTGAATAAGATCACACCACAACCTGCTGCAGCACTTTTCCCATGTCGATGTAATTGGAACTCTATTGACACTAATGAATACTGTAGGTTAGGGTCTCGAATGGTGGAAACTGGGTGACCCCCATGTAAAAAATAAACTCTGTTTGAACTGCAAATGGGCGGGTAGGTTTAGTATCTATCTCCATATTAAGAAAAACCTTTAGCTCACTAACAACTTCTTTGTAAGTATTTTGCTCCAGTACATTTCCTATTAATGCAGCTTGCATGTTCTTCCCCCTCAGGCTAGATATTCAAGCCTCCTGTTCCGTCACGAAGGCTGGCCACTGTGTCTCCATGAGAAGGTAGTGATACAATTGGCATCATTCAACATCTTTCTCCTGCGGCCTGGTGATTTCTATCTGCAGATTCTACCTGTTGGAAGGCAGTCTGCTCGAATTGTGCTGAAATGCTTAGGCAAAGACCTCTGCAGTGTGGAGGAGAAACTTGTACCTGAAGTATCCTACACCAGTATTTTTACAGTGGAATGGTTGGGAATGATAAACAGTGAACGTTCTGGCACCCCACTGCACACTTGCCTGTTAGCCACAGAGAACGGGGTTGTGAAAGTGCTTTGGACTGAAATCGTAAACCCGGAATTTGTAACGAAAGTCAAAGTGACACCAGCATCTGGAGTCAATACTTGTTCTGCAGAGGAAACAGAGAATGACTATGATTCCGCGACGATGACATTGCAGACAGATATGGAAACTAATAGTTTGTTTGACGCTCCCGAGCCAGACTCTAATATTAAAGATGATAAAAATATATCACCTAACTTGACTCAAATAGAAGGTGCAAAATGCCTGCGCCATCAGCCTGTGAAATTGGGAAAGGTCTCAAACTTGTGCGAGATTTCCAATGAAAATGTTGAAGGGGATTATGTGGATTTACTGATGTTTTCTAATGAAAGATGTACTGATATGAAGACAGTGCGGCCTCTATACAAGAACAGAGAATCTTCAGTGGTTCCAATGAATGGCACATGGGCATGTGGAGGGTCTATAAGGTTTTCTGCAGAACCCTGCACACCATGCTTAAACAGAAGGACAAATAGTGATTTAGAACACAAAGAGATTAAATGCCGCTATCGCGAATCTTACATAGAAGCTCTGCAAAACCCTCTGAATTTTGGATTCAGTTTGCAGGAGACAGAATCCTCTAAAAAGAACAAGGTAGACACCTCAATGAATCATAAGCTTGACAATAATTTGAAAAATCCAGCCTGCTGCAGGCAAAATCAGGAATCTAAGAATTCCAGGAAGATGTCTGCAGCTTCGTCCAGGGAAACAAATGAGGACCGACTATTGGGGCACCCCATTCCATATCCCACTTCATTCAAGGAGCCATATCGAGCTACGGCCAAATGTGATACTCATTTATGGTCACCACATTCAGACAGTACCAACAGGCATTCACTTCCTGATGCTCAAAGATCATGTTTACCAACTGGTGACACCACATCCTCTGAAATTGTGCCCAATAGAAAAACTGCACAAGTGCCAAAAAAGTGTTCTGTTGGTTATATATCTCCGAGAATCCGCAGACATAAAGCCCAGAGCAAAGGTAAGAATATACAAAATTGTGTTGATGTGCTACACACAAGTGTATCTAACTGTCATAGGTTTTGCTTGAACTAGGTGTCTATAACCTGCACGCAGCTCTTTAGCAGATCATTTTTGGCTCCCAACATTTTCTTGGTGGATCATACTCATGTGAAAAAAGGACTTGGAAAAAAAAATCAAGTCCCAAGAAAAGTAAATGATGTTTTCATTCTGGGGTTAAAAAGCTGCTCATTATGCTACACTTTATGGTTAAAATAATGAAAGACATTCTAAATAAACCTGTTCAAGTGGTATAGGTTGCTGCATGGGAATAGATAATCCCCTTGATTCAAGGAACAAGTTTATGCTTGTGATCTTTGTTCCAGGATAATTTTACAATGGTAAGATATTCTTGAGGTAATATGGGTAGCTTTTTAAAAAAAAATTATTAGAAGCAATAGCTGAAAAAAATGCGTCTTAGTTTACAACTTGGAAGATTGCTGTCAGAATTTGATCATTCAGAATTGCCTATTTCAATTTTGATTCTTTTATTGATGCATTACTTCAACACATTTATTTATTACTTTTATAATTTATGCATTCTACAAGTGACACTTGCCAATTTGCAAAATATGTGGTCTAGAAATGTCAGATTTTTGTCTTGCAGCACCTAATTGTTTTTATTATAGGTTTTTTTTAAATTAAAAGGCTGTTCATGTTAAAAGAAAGTGGTTGACATCATCTGGCTTGAGCTGTTGGGTAGAAATAAGACAATATCACCTTATTTTTAATTGTTTGGAAAAACTTGTTAAAATCAGGTAGTCCATTCTGAAATGAACATTGAATCGAATTGTGCTGAGGTTTCGACTTTCTGCAAACAGCTGAAGGAAGGAGTAAGAGAAACAAAAACGTATCCATGTTAAGGTGATGACGCTCAGAGTTCATAAACTTTGAAACCCGTGGTTCTTCAGGAGTGCTCAAGCTGTAATTTAGGTGAGAGTTTAGTGTAGGGATCACCTTTTGGTTATCCAGGACATTCTCCCCTGCAAATTTCATTCCCATTCACATTTAGGTTGGTTTTCTTTGAAGCCTTTTGAATGTTAGTATGATATATAGCTACTATACAGTCATACACCATGGAAACAAACCCTTCAGTCCAGTTAGTCCATGCTGACCATGTTCCCAAACTAAACTAATCCCACCTGCCTGTGCTTGGCCCATTTCCCTCAAAACCTTTCCCATTTGTGTATTTATCCACATGTCTTTTAAACATTGTAACCATACCTGCATCCACCACTTCCTCTGGCAGTTCATTCCAAACACTAATCACCCTCTATGTAGAAAAGTTGCCTGTCATGTCCTTTTTAACCTTCCTTCCTTCTCTCACCTTCAAATATGTCCCCAGGTTTTGAATTCACCCACCTTAGGGAAAAGGCCTTTGCTATTCACCTTGTCTATGCCCCTCATGATTTTATAAACTTCTAAAGATCACCCCTTAAAGGTCGAGTGGAAAAACATCCCAGACTATAGAGACTATTTTTATACCTTACACCCTCCATTCCCGGCAACATCCTGGTAAATCTTTTCTGTACCCTCTCCTGTTTAGTAATATCCTCCCTATAACACTTGGTCAGAACTGCACACAGTGCTCTAGAAGAGGCCTCATCAACTTCCTGTACAAACTCAACATGACATCCCAACTCCTGTACTTGAAGATCTGACCAAGAAGGCAAGCATGCTAAACACCTTCATAATCGCCTGTGACACAAATTTCAAAGAATTAGATACCTGAACCCCTAGGCCTCTCTGTTCTATAACACTACCCAGGGCCCGACCATAAATTGTATAAATCTTGTCTTTGTTTGTTTTAGCAAAATGTAATACCTCACATTTATCCAAATTAAACTCCATCTGCCACTCCTCAGCCTATTGATCCAGATCTCTTTGTAATTTTAGAAATCCTTCTTCACTGTCCACTATACCACCAATTTTGGAGTCATCTGCAAACTTACTAACTATGCTTCCTATATTCTCATCCAAATCATTTATATAAATGACAAACAAAAGTGGACCCGGTACCCATTCCTGTGGAAGACTGCTGGTCACAGGCCTCCAGTCTGAAAAACAACCTTCCACCACCACCTTCTGTTTCCCACTGTAAAGCCAATTTTGTATCCAATTGGCAAGCTCACCCTAAATCCCATGTAATCTAACTTTACTAATTAGTGAGGGCTTTACTAAATAAGTAAATAATGTTTACTGCTGTGCTTTTATCAATCTTTTTGCTTACCTCCTCAAAAAACTCAATCAAGTTTGTGAGACACGATTTCCCTGATGCAAAACCACGTTGATCATTCCTAATCATCCCTTGCCTCTCCAAATGCATGTAAATCCTAACTTTCAGAATCACTTCCAACAACTTACCCACCACCGATGTCAGGCTCACAGGTCTGTTGTTCCCAGGCTTCTCCTTATGGCCTTTTTTTAAATAAAGGCACAACATTACCCACCCTCCCGTCCTCTAGCACCTCACCCATTGTTATAGATAATACAGATATTTCTGTCAGGGGCCCTGCAATTTCACCCCTAACTTCCCACAATGTCCTGGGATATTCATATTTTTCAAAACTCTAAATAGTTTTGTGTTACATAAAATCCTGAATGTTGGAGTAATAGTGTCCATATTTTGCAATTCATTAATTCAGAAGATATCAGCTACTGTTTTAAATCTAGCAATTCTAATATATCAATTTACTCAATTAATTTTAGATTATTTATGAGAATATGCATGATTTTCCTTTTTGCCTTTTATGCTAATTATGGTTGACGTGAAGAATAAAAGTCCTGATCGGGATGACTTTCCATGGGACTGTTACTCTGTTGCTGTAACTTAGACATCAATGGAATTTCTGTTGAGCATCTAAAGTTATGCTGAAAGTTATGTGAGAAGAGCCACATAATCATTAGGCCCCATGAAGTCTGCCAACTCTTTGAAAGAGCTACAATTTGTCCCACTCTTTCCCTGTAAACCTGCAACCTTCTTTTTGCAACCCTACCCCTCCACCCCCGGGAATTATCCTAGTAGTCATGGACAAAAACAGAAGTTGCTGGAAAAGCTCAGCAGGTCTGGCAGCATCCGTGAAGAGAAATCAGAGTCAATGTTTTGGGTCTGGTGACCCTTCCTCAGAACTGATGGTAGCTAGGAAAATGTTGGTTTAAATACAGAAAATAGGGTGTGGGGCGGGAGTAAGGAGTAAACGATAGGTGGGGATAGAGCCCAGAGAGAGAGAAAAACAGTTGGACAGACAAGTGAATTGATAACGATCTGGCTAGGAGGGTGAATAGCTGTGAATGAGGACTGTTAGTGGCTAACAATAGGTAGTGTGTAATGGCAGGCTATGTGATTAACACGAACCGAAGGAACTGCGGATGCTGTAAATCAGGAACAAAAACAAAATTTCTGGAAAAGCTCAGCAGGTCTGGCAGCATCTGTGAAGGAAAAAACAGAGGTAACGTTTCGGGTCACCGCACCCGAAACGTTAACTCATGTGACTAACAAGGCCTGGTGTGTGGGGTAGGGGTCTAGGACATGGGAGCGTTCAGGCCCTAAGATTATTGAACTCGATATTGAGCCTGGAGGGCTGCAGGGTCCACATGTGGAAAATGAGGTCTTGTTTTTCTAGCTGCTACTGAGCTTTGCTGGAGCACTGCAGCAAGCTTGAGACAGAGATGTTGGTCAGGGTGTTAAAGTGGCAGGCAATTGGAAGCTCAGGGTCTTTTTTGTGGGCAGAATGCAGATGTTCTGCGAAGCAGTCTATGCTTCGTTTCCCCAGTGTAGAGGAGACCACATTGTGAGCAGCAAATGCAGTCGACTAGATTCTGGGAAGTAGTAGGAAGAGAGCTCAGGATATGATCAGAAGGAAAAGGAGACCTGGATATATTCTTCTCGTTTATATTTGCCTTAATGTAAGAGACATGATTATTCTCCCACCCCACTGCAAGTATAGATTGGGTGTGAGTGATGTAATCGGGGCCTAATCTGTACATTTACTTTGGGGGGAGGAGGGTGAGTGAGCTGCCTGATAGCTTTCTTACCTCATTAAAATGGTGACAGGTCAGGGCTGGGTTGGAAAGCAGAGGACAAGCCACTACTTTATTTTACAAACCCACTCCCATCTCTCCCACTCCCCCAGCCATGGAGCAACTGTTGAATTCACCCTGTTGAAATCTTCATACAGTTAAACCCTTTGTCAGTGGATGAAACTACATGAATAAAACTGACACAAAATTAAAGCAAGTTGTAGAAACACAAAGATTTAAAATAAAAGAACAGAGTATTAAAACACGTGAGTAATCAGAACAAGCTCTTCAGAGCATGGGTTAAAAGTGCATTGTAAGTATAATTAACAATGTAGAATGTTGCTTGATGTAACATCCTTGCACAAACTAGGAATACTCCAGGTACAAATTAGATAAATAGTTCGCTTGTTCTACTCCTCAGTGCTGTCATCAAGCAATGAATTAATCTTCCATCCTTCAACGGTTTTGTTGAAAACACTTTCATGCAAATTCATAGACGGTTAAGCCTACCTCAGACTTTAGTAAATGTTTCAACACTTCTAAAGCTGCCTTAAACTTTCTAAAATCACAGCAGAGCTACAGTGATATCTAAAGGAAGATTGTAGTGAACATGGTTGCATCAAACACCCAAGCCTTAGGCTATTAACTTAGCCTCACATGCATTATTTAATAACAAACTACCATAGTCTACAATGGCAACATCCAGCCAACACCCCATTGCTCTTCCCATTTGGCTGTGATCCAACTCTTCAGACAAAAGCTTCAGGCTGCTACAAGTTGAGACTGCAGTTTAGAATGACAAATGCACAAAGTTCCTTCTAGGTTTCAACTTTTAGTCAATCTCAACCATGCTTGAATCAATCTCATATAGGTTCTGCTGTCAAAACAGAACTGTTGCATAAAGAGCCTGTTTGTTGGCAGCTTGTCCTTTCATATAACATT